TATCACGGTAACGAGCGATGGCATGAGACAAAAAGATGTATTCACATTTAAATGCTGGAGTGCTCTAACGATAGCCACTTGCGGTTTTCCAGCCAAATATAAAGAAATCACACTATCACGCTTGAATTCCATCACGAATAACTTTTTTTGCTGGAACATTTTCACTAAAATGATTTTGTACGCTAGTAAATGATATAATGAACTGTCACTGGAATAATTTTAACAGCTGTTGGACGAGTGGCTTAGAAATGAAAGCAGTCTGAAATTGGTTGCAGTTTTTTAATCTCACTTTGTAGACGGGAAGAACTTCGAGATAAGTTACCATATAGGGAAAATACATATCAAATAACTTCCCATAACTTTGAAAAAGGATAATTTGGTTTCCTACCCTAGATTACCAATACGAAGAATCTCATTTGGCATTTCACGTAAAAAAAAACTTGTTGCATTCTCTAAAAGAACGTATCGAAATTTTTTAGGGAAAAATATAAGTTGGTCTTTAAATGAGAAATACTTTTAGAGCAGACCAACTGTTCTCGTATGGAAGAAACCCATTTGTCCTTCCTTCTAAAAAATGAAGCGGTTGACCTAGTCTCTCATAGAGAAGTTAACGTAATCTGTAATGCGAGAAGACGACAAAGCTTCTATTAAAGAGTTTGCCCATTTAATGTCTTGAAAAAGAAGAATAAGGACTTCTAGAAAAAATGAGTTATGTGGTCTTCTACCACATTTTTTTTTTTTTCAAAGAAGAAGTCTCTTTGGGAAAGTCTTTTGAGAGAAGATCTTGGAAGAAGATCTTGTTTTTTCGGGTTTCTTTGAAAAATAAGTTACTATTTCTTAAATAAATATATAATTCGTTGTGACTGATTTCAAAACTATATATTGTTAATACGTTAGGTTATTTACAATGCATTTTTAGAAACAAAATGTCGACGATTGTGTTTATATTTTGATAAAATGTTTTTACACAAAATAACGATGAAACAAATGCAATGGTATGCCACTACTACAAAAGCATCAATTTTAGTAACATTTCACGTGAACACTGTGTGTGTGTGTGTGAGAGATGTCTCATTTGGGTTGAATAATAAAATTTACTCATTTGGAATACAAAATTAAAAACGTGGATCAATGAAGATATAGACAATATAATGGAAGTTTTCGCCCTCACAGCGAAGTTCAATATACTAAACTTACTAGCCTGATTTAGTAGGCCAGTTTGACTTCGAGAGCAAATTTAGGTTTTGAAAAAATACATTTTGTTGTTTTCTCCATTCTTTTTTTTATAGTTAAATAATACCAAAACATAAAATATGTAATAATTTTGAATAGTTTAGATTCGAGAGAATGAGTATGTTCTCTAAACTTGAAGCGGTGAGAACATTCCTTTGTCGTTTATATCTTCATTAGTCGGCGGTGTAAATTTCTTAATGAGTAAATTTCATTGTTTTAATTAGTAAAATTCATAGTGAACAATTTTTTTCTGTTATAGGTATATGTTTGTATGTGTGTAGTCGATTTCACAAACAATCGGATTTCGATGTTGGTCATAAAAATAGCTAATTAGTTGCTATTTTTAATTTTCATTTAATTGATTTAAATATGAAATATATTAATTTTTATACCCTCCACCATACTATGGATGGTATATTAATTTTGTCATTCCGTTTGTAACTCCTCGAAATACTCATGTCAGATCCAACAAAGTATATATATTCTTGATCAGCGTAAAATGCTAAGACGATTTAGCGATGTCCGTCTGTCTGTCTCTTGTAATCACGCTATCTGTCGAACGAATTGAAATAGAAGGCTAAAATTTTGCACACATAACGGTACCTCCCGATATTCGGTATTTTGATGATTTTAGCGACATTATTCACCGGACTTGTTTCAAATTTGGTATTTGAAGTTCGAAATGGATACTACATCCTGAGACAGAAAATTGTCTGTGAAGGTCCACATATTTCAGTACCTTCCTATATTCCGTATTTTGACGATTTTAGGTACAATACTCGTAATGGAAGCTACAGCCTGTGACTGAAAATTGTCTATGCCGGTCCAGGTTTTCGCATAGCTCCGATATAACAGTACCTCCCTATATACGGTATTTTGATGATTTTAGCTACATTATTCATCGTTAATTTCAAGTTTTGAATTTGAATATGGTAATGGCTTATGACAAAAAATGCCTATGTATGTCTACGTCGTATAGCCCCCAATATAACGGTATTCGGTATTTTTAAGATTTTAACAGAATTTTTAACGGGTTTTACTGCTTATTAACTTGTTTTGTTTTACTTTATTAAAATGGGGCTCAAAGGTTTGAGTACTATGCCGACACCCGATTAATAACATCTTCGACATTTGAAATTGAAAAGCCTGAAAGACGATTTTTGTCTGTGGGAAAAATCGCAGTCTACTATCCAATTTTTTTCGGAATTAAAAATAGGAAAATGTTTACTTTTTGAACCAAAATGTCGTTAAATCATTCAATCATTTTGATGTTGAACGAGGAGCATATTAGTAAAACCACAATGGAACCATATCCAAGATTTCTGTCCAAATCTATTTCAAAGTCTGTAAACCCTAGAAACCTACAGTGTCCTCAATATGAAATTCCAGCTCTATCCCTCACCCAATACAAAATTTTGTAAAATATAGTAAGCATATCCGAAACAATCCACATGTCTCCATCCTAGACAGTGCTTCAAAATTAGTATTTTTTGAATAATTATACTATACATTTGCAAACCTCCCAATAAACCAACAGAGATCTTCATATCGCCTTTCGGAACTCCAGCTCTATATATTCACTCAATACCAAATTTAGTAACATTTTGTACGATTTTAGCACTCAATTGCAAAACCGTTCAATATCTCTATTATAGACACAAACAGTCATCTCAACATAAAAGGTCAATCAGTACTTTTCCCACAAATATGCGACGCATTTCCAAACTCACCTCCAAATCCCAAACCTAGATACTAACAAGGACCTTAATATCAAATTTAAGGATTTCTGCTCCACACCTTCCCCCTATGCCCAATTTAGTACCACTTAGTACTTTTCGATCAATTATGGTACAAATTTCTAAAACTACCTCCATATCTTAACCACAGACACCAACAGTGACATCTATATTAAATTTATCGATTTCAGCTCAATTTCTTCACCTAATACCAAATTTAGTACTATTTAGAAATGTTCGTATAATTATGGTACAATTCCTTTACATAATACAAAATTTAGTACTTTTTGTACAATTATAGTACATATTTCCAAAACCACCTCCATATCCCAATTCCAGAAAACCACAGAGTTCTCAATATCAAATTTAAGAAAATTCCATTCCATCACCCTATACCAAATTCAGTACGCTTTAGTACTTTAATATCCCTTCACTCAATACCGAACATAATACCATTCAGCATTTTTCGTACAATTATAGTATGCATTTCCAAAACTACCTCCATATGACCAGGCTACACATGAAAAGCGGCCTTATACCAAATTTCAAATTACTCAGCCAATACCACATATAGTACTATTTAGTACTATTTTTCACAAACCTACCACCAACAGCGACCCCAATACAAAATTCCAGCTTCATTCGTTCACCCTAAACCAAGCTGTTCTAAATTAAGTACCATAATTCGTACAACTACAGAAATACGTACCAAAACAACCTTTAAACTTACTTTCCAACCTTGATTCGCTTACTAGATGTCAAGCTTTTAGCTCTATCCGTTCATATAATACAAAATGGTACCATTTTAGAAATTTGGAACAATTTTAGAACTTTTCGTAACTTTAAAGTTCGAATTTTCAAAAACGCTTTGATACATTTATCCAACTCTGCATCAGTGACTCCCATTCTAAATTTCAGAATTCTAGCTTATTCCGTACTTTTCGTCCCCTTTTACGAATTTTTGAAAACCCAGTATTATCACACGCCTACGCACCTAGACTGATCCTCGTGGAAAATTTCAAGACTATAGCTTCAGTCGTCTGCAGTTATTTCAATACTCTTTTCTGTATATAGGTATTGGGATGCCAAGATCGACTCGCGGTTAATCAACTATTAGGCCCAGTTTTTATTCCACTAGAACCTAAAAAGTCTAATCAAGATCATTGCGTTTTGCCCACACCTTAAAAAATCTGGAAGAATCGCATTGGAAATTTAAATACCAACTAAGAAATCAAAATATTAAAAACTTGTGGTTCAAATGAAGAAATCGGGAATAGTCTCCGAAATATCCAGAATCAAATGACAATGTTAATAAAATGTTATAAAAAGGCAGTAAGTTCGGCTGGGCCGAACTATGAATACCGTTCTCCATTTGGAGGCATTTGGAAATTAAAAAAAAAAAAAACTTGAAAAATACTGTTGAAATCTTAAAAATGCCGAATATAGTTAGTTATATTGAGGTCTGTACGAAGACGTGGAGCTGCATAAACAAGTTTTGTCATAGGCCATTGCAATATTGAAATACTAAACTTGAAATATGTAATTCCACTAAATAATGCCACAAAAACGTCAAAATACAAAATATAGGGAGGTACTGTCATATGGCGGCTATATGAACAAATGGACCTGCAGACAAAATTTTATGAACTGCAAATACGAAATTTGAAACGATTCCGGTGAAAAAAATCCCGAAAATCGTTATCAACCTATATATATATATATATATATATATATATATATATATATATATATATATATATATATATATATATATATATATATATGGTTGATTCCGATTAACGATTTTCGTTATTTTTTCGGGATTTTTTTTCACCGGAATCGTTTCCAATTTCGTATTTGCAGTTCATAACGAGTACTACTACATGTGGCGGAAAATTGTGTCTGCAGGTGTTCGAGGTGTTACAAACAGAATGACATTCTTAATATACCCTCCATATTATGGTGGAGTGTATAATAATAATTGTGCTGCAATATTTTTAGGCTTAGCCTTTTCTGAAAATATTGACCTAATTAATTTTTACACATTTAGCATATGGTAATTTTGCTAGTGTTAAATCTTAAAAAAAAAATTGTATTCCAACTGTTTGCTATTTTTATGACCACAACTGTATGATGAGCATAAAATATGGGTATGTTGACCTTTTGTTCTTTTTGTTCCGCCATCCATATCCATATTTTATACTGAAAAATTATATGTACAACAATAAGTATATGTATTTTGACTAAGAAAAAAGAAAACACTGACGCAGCCACTACAGAGCGAGCGATGGTGATGATACTAACTTGTGTTACCTTAAGATCAGCATCGTAGGGCAGAGTTTTCTCCCACAGATTGGGGCCCAAAAATGCGGTCTGAGCCTCAACATTCCAGAGATCACCTTCTTCTTTATATTTGTCATCGGGACAAATTACCTCTTTGCTATTCGATGTGGATTTACCTGTAATTAAAAGAACACAAATAACGATTAGCCATTACGGGAAAGCAAACATTAATTCCAAATAGCTCATGCAGGAAATATTAGAAACAGAAACAATTTTTTCCAACAACAGTACTCGTGTGTGACTTTGGTCATTGTCTGTCTCGGTGGCATTGGCCTTTATTCCATAAACATTTTTTTTCTGATGTTTTATTTCACACTTGTTCATACAATTTCATTATTCCTGTTTCTATTCCATTTCAAGTTCATGTTCAAGTTCTTAAGCTTTGGCGATTTACATTTTTTTTTGTACTTTGTTTTATTCTTCGAAGCGGTTTTGCGTTACTACTGAACATTTTGCAGTTGTATTAGTTCCTTTCTATCGCTTTCGTTTATTAGTTCTTTAAGCAAATATGAATGTTTTAATTACATTGTAAGGTTTTTATATTCGTTGTTGCATCGCTGTGAAGATAGCCTCTAACCCTCCCCCATCTCTCTCAGGTTATCTATATTGTGTACTACATTGTGTGTTTCAACTGCTTTTGAGAGAACAATATTCGTACACTTGGTCAAATATCGAGACCCATATAAAAATAGTGATACGATAGAAGAAGAAGAAGAAGAGAAGATAACTAAAATAAATAAACTTTTTTCTAATAATAACAAATATGAGAATTACACGCAATTTACGAAATGAAACGTTAAACGAGAATATTGGTGAAAAGTGTAACTAAGTTTAACGGGTTTTTGAAAAATACTCTTATGAATTTTTGAGTGGACACTTATCATGGGTTTTGTAAAAAATACAAATAAACGGAATACAAAGTGAGCAATTCATTATTGTACAATGTACAAGGTGAGATAAAAAAAACCGCAACAAATTCAAACGCCATCATTTTTACGTTTCTTTTTTTTCAATTTTATTGAATGAAAGCAAAAATGACGGAATAGCATACCGAAATTTTAGAATAATTTTAGGTTCATTCGAATTGGTCACCTTTGGCACGAATTATGGCCTTCAAATGGCCAACGAAATCGTCACACGCTGCCCGAATGTTACTCTGTGGTATTTTGGCCCAATCCCAGCGAAGCGCTTGCTTGGGGTGATCGACACTTTGGTATTTTTTAGTGCCAACCTTGCTTTCCAAAATACTCCAGACACAATAGTCCAACGCATTGGTATCCGAAGATTTTGGTGGCCATTGTGCACTGGAAATGAAGCGAAGAACCTCATTTTGTAAACATTCTTAGGTGGCGCGTGCTGAGTGCGATGGCGCTGAGTCCTGTTGGAATGTCCAAGGTCTACGGCCAAAATGTTTACATGCCCAAGGTTTTAATTCACCCTCCTGAATATTTTCGCAATAACCTTCGGCATTTATTCTGAAGCCACGGTCGATTAATACGATCGGAAAGCGACCATCGGCTGTTATGACGGCCCACACTATCACCATGGCCGGCGCTTGAGTTGTGGGGGCCCACCGAAGGGGACGAGCCATGGTACTGACATAAAAGATTTATTCACATTTGAATGCTGGAGTGTTCTAACGATGGCCCCTTGTGGTTTTCCAGCCAAATATAAAGAAATCACACTATCACGCTTGAATTTCATCTTTTTTTTCTGGAAAATTCTCACCAAAATGCTTTTGTACGCTTGTAAACAATGTAATGAGCTGTCACTGGAATAATTTTAACAGCTGTCGGACGAGTGACTTTAGAATGGCAGCAGTCTAAAGTTGGTTGCAATTTTTTCATCTCACCTTGTATGTTATTTCAGCTGGACTTTTGGTATGTACCATATTTTGGTATAGGCCCCATATGACTGTACCTCAAATGTAACTTCGTGTTCCCCGCGTGTAATAAACTTCCCTGCATAGAACTGTCTATATAAGTCCAAGTTTATGACTGTACCTCCAGATATTCGGTATTTGAAAGATTTTAGCTGCATTTTTAAAAGAAACATCTCAAATTTGTTACTTGGCGGAACCTTCTCTGGCAGATAATTGACCATTTATACAGTACACTGTAGAAAAACTTCTTACCAATAATTGGTACTTGGCGGAACATTATCTGGCAGATAATTGACCATTTAAGTCCACATTTTCGTATAGCTCCATATAACTTTAACACCCGGTATTTGGAATTTTGAAATTATTGCTGATTTTTTAAGAGATTTTTCACATTTTACAATTTCCTTCCAAATGGAGCAGAGTATTAGCTGCTTTTTTACTTGTTAATAGCAAAATTGACAAAGAAAAAAATTCGTCCAAATGTGCATGAAAAGCTCATTGTTTTATCCTATTTTTTCTTACAAAATACTTTGTTTCTATATCATTTTGGCTGACAAACGAGTATTTTTTCCTGTCAAATGTCAACATTTATTACTTGACATATTTATTAGCAGAAATTAGGAGAGTATGCTGAGCAGTCTACATGATAAATTCTGTAATCATAGCGGATTGGTTTTCCTGTTGAACTAATCTGTAGTTTGGTGTGTTCACCACCATCTCTTAGCAAAAATAAAAAATAGCAGAAAAGAAAGCCATTTTGGGTTTCCTTCTCTCAAGTTTAGCTCCAAGGTTAGTTTGTTTCGGGACTGCTTACCTAGCAAAAAAATTGCTAAATTAGTAGAATATTGGCCCGCAGAGTCGCGTACCTAACATTTAAGATGCATTTGCATTGTTGTGCAGATAAGTGGAATTTTGCTCAATAGCTTCTGCTACAAAAATTTGCACTATTAGAGAAAAATTTTACAAAAAATTATAGAATGTAATTTAAGGCCCGAATACACACATGATGTTAAAGTTCTTTGTAAATCGACTTTTCATATTTTATTTTTATGGCATACTTTAAGGAGTTGACGCCAACAATTTCCAAGCCTAAAAGTTGCGCTATACTTCATAAACTATATATTATAAATTGCCATAAAATACACTTGTATTTTATTTTATTCCTTACTTTTAGTATATTTATATTAATTTATTGTGTGCTATAATGCTATTTCTTTTCAGATTACAAATTCTGGGGAGTGTCTGAAAGTATGCTATAAAAATGCAAAAGATATATGTAGAAAATCACGCTTTACGTATGACTTTAACATAATGTGCAATCTGGCCTTAAGTAAAATCCAGCAAGAAAACAAAATGTACCTACCACACACCTATCTAATTTTTGAAAAACCCGAAGTGAAATTAACGTTTTTAAGTTAAAAATGAATTATTTCACGCTAAAGTAATTAAAGTATTCAAATTAGTGCTTAAAATTTACAAACGGTGCCACATCATCTTCCAAACAGATGATCAAACATGCAAATTTCTAAAGAGCCAAATGTTCAAACTCATTGTTACACATAGTGTTGCCAGTATTGAGGAATTTTGCCCAAAAAGGGGATATTTTTTTCAAATTGGGGACGAAAAATTAAAGTTGGGGACATAAGGATTTAGTGGGGATCTCGTTGGTATTTGCATTTAAAGTGCTAAAAGTTGCATGATTGTTTTACATAGAAGGTGCCAACCAGCGATGTATGTGTAGAACGAGTTTTTTCACTTATAAACTCGGTGAAACCCAAACTTAGAAATAAAATAATTATAAGAATTTATATAAACCAAATGAGACTGAAAATGCTGACGATTTGGAACTTGACAATTTTGATGTGATTGCATTGCAACTTTGAAAACTCTAGTCTATTAAATTAAAATTTTCTATTTGTTTGTTATTTTCTATTTTTATATTATTTTACATGTAAAGTATGTAAGATAAACTAGTATATGAATTGAATATTATGTACAAATATTTTTTCAAATAAATTTACTCTGTTCGTTTTTTGTTAAATGCTTGGGGATTTTTTTTTTTTTTTTTTTTTTTTTTTTTGAGGAAATTGAATCAAATTTGAGGAGATTTGGGGAAAACGTTTTTTTGATTTTGAGGACGAGAGACAGAAAAATATTGGCAACACTGGTGACACAACAGCAAAGATTACTCTCTCCCTCTCTCTCTCTCTCTCTTTGTGTTATCCAACAATTTCCAAAAACAATTTGTACAAATTATTAAATTTTCAAATACCTTTAATCTTATATCAATTTATCTGTGATTTTGTGTGAAAATATTGATTTGAAATGATCGACCGATCGCACTTTTATTTCTAAACTAATTTTAAACATTTTTCTTCAAAATTTTAACTAAAAATCTCCCAAATTTTGCCTTATTTTGTCTATGTGTTTATTTACATGAAATATAATAGAAAAAAACTCTCATTACTCCATTGAATACAGTGATGATATTAAAATTTCAAATATTGTTGTTTTTGGGCACTCGAATAGAAAAAAAAAAAATATTGAAACACACACACACACCAAAGTCCAAAAGTCATGAATTTTTTGCACATTATTTCCGCATACGAAATGAAAAATACAAAAGGAAAATATACTCGAAAGGGAAAGAAAGAGAAGAAGAGAGATATGAAAAGAAAAATATAAATTTACACACCTTCTCAAATCCAGGGAACAAGTAAACCGGTTAGATTTCGGGTCTTATCATTACGTTTCCGAGGATGGTAGAGGAGGTAAAGAAAGCATGACATGACTGATGTAAAGAAAGATACATTCGAAGCGAGTCTACACGATTACCGGCAACGGTAATATTTTTGTCATGACGGCACATATACATAACAGTACATGTGCCTGCATAAGTGTTTGTGTGTGTGTGTGTGTGTGTATCTTACACTCTAACATAATATTCCAGCCTGCATTAAGTCACAATTTCAAATCAAGAAGCAAACGTGAAGGCAAACCAACCAAAAGAAAGGTCGAAACAAAACGAACGAAAAAAAAGAAACTCCATACCAAAGCAGCCGCAACATTTGTAAAAGCGAAAGTGAAATTTTTGTACAAGCTTTGACTGAATATCAGATGTTTGCTTGCTTGTGTTTCCATGTCCAAGTAACTCTACGAGTCGTTGGTTGTATTCTTTTTGTCATTAGGTATGCAAGAGCCGACACCAGCCGTAGACTGGCAAAATTAACGCAA